ACTTGCAGTTGAATAGTCAGTGCTTAGAGTCTATTTAGTTCAGTTCCCAGCAGTCTACAGAGCTCAGCATTTGGGCAGTGCTGTCAGGAGGTCAGAAAGAACTTCAAGCTCATCCTCTGCTACACAACTGAGCTATCTGAGACTCACAGACAAAAAGGGAAAGTTATCCCCCAAAATTGTTGGGTTCTTTTGGGATGCTTTTATTTTATTTGTTTATTTATTTTGGTTATTTTTTATTGACAATAGCGTGGGGGCAGGAGGCTGGAGAGATGGCTCAGCCTTTATGAGCTCTGACTGTAACTCCAAAGGCCCTGTGTTCAAGTCCCAGCATTTACATGTAATTCCACATTAAGGTCTGAGCCCTCTTTTGGCCTCTATCGGTACTGCATGCACATTGTATACTTAAATACATGCTGACAAAACACACACAAAATTAAAAACAAAACAAAACAAAATAAAAAAAAAACTAAAAAAGGAGGAGAAAATTGATTTTTTTCATATAATATATTCTGATTACAGTTTCCTCTCCTGCAGCCCCTCCCGGTTCCTTCCTGCCTCCTCTTGCATCCAGATCCATACCCTTTCTGTCTCTTATTAGAAAACAAACAGATCTCTAAGGGATTATAATATAATAGATATAATAAGATAAAACAAACACAAACGATCAGAATAGGACAAACAATCACACAGAAGGAATCAAGCACAAATAAAGGTACAAGAAAGAGACAGAGAGCCTTAGACACACTTGTTCACACACTCAGGATTCCAATAAAAGAAACAAATTGGAAGCTATGCTATATATGCAGAGGACCAATAGGGTTTAAAAAAAAGGAGAAAATAGCCTGAGAGAAGGCACTAGAGTCAGAGACCCACTCATGCACTCACTTGGGAGTCAAATAAAAACACTAAACTTAAAATATGTACATAGATGACCCGGTGCAACCCATGCAGGCCCTGTGCATGCTGCCCCAGTCTCTGTGCGTTCATATGTGTATTGGTCCTCTTGTGTGTAGTAGTTCTTGTTTCCTTGATGTCCTCCATCCCCTCTGGCTCTTAAACTCTTTCTACCTCCTCTTTTGTGGAGCTTCCTGATTTCTGAGGGGAGGGATTTGATGGCGACAACCCACTTAGGACTGAGTGTTTCAAGATTTCCTACTTTCTGTATATTGTCTGGATGTGGGTATCTATATTTTTTTTCCCTTCTGCTGCACAAAGAAGCTTCTCTGATGATAGCCAAGCAAGACACTGATCTATGTATATAGCAAAAGTCACCAGAAGTCATTTTAACACTACATTACTTAAGTAGAACAGTAATAATTTGGTTTCACCATAGGTCCCTGGGCTATCTAGGCTCAGGTTTTTGGTTACCCAAACAGGATCAGGTATGGGTGCCATCTTACGGGGTGGATCTTAACAAATCAAATATTTGTTGGTTACTCCCAGAAGCTTTGTGCCACCATTGCCCTAGCATATTTTGCAGGCAGGACAGCATTTTACGTGGGAGGGTTTATGGCTTTGTTGATGTTTACATTTCTCCTTTGGTAATCTGCAGAGTACTCTCCAGTACCAAGAACACTAGCCCCTAGGGGTGAAAACTCTAGGTAGGCACCAGTTCAACTTCATGTTTAGTGAGTTGCGCAGGTGTTGTCTTCAGCAACAGGGCCTTACCTGCCAGTTTGTGGAGAGCAACCTATAGCTGTGGCAATAGCCTGGGTGGTTTGGGGGCTCCCATGGGACCCCTTTGGCCAACAACTCAATTAGATGTAGCCCATACACGTGGTGCTGGAAGCTTCATTTGATGGCAAAAGATGTCCAGATGGGGCTCTGACTCCGACATTATTTGTCAATTTCATTTAGATTCCCTTCATATATGTATGTATGTTAGGAAGCTTCTACTGTGTTAGGTTTCCATATTGCCTCTCATTGGCCTTTAATTTTACCTGCCTATGCCCATATTCCCTCTTTTGTCACCCTCTTCCCTTGCCTCCCTGCTTGATATTCCAGTTCCAGCCCTGACCCCCACCTTTGTCCATCCATAACTATTCTATTTCCCTTTCCTAGGGAGATCTATCTGTCTCATCTAGTCCCTTATTCTGTGCCTAACCTCTGTGATTCTATGGGTTGTAGCTGACTTATCAAAGACTTAACAACTAGTATGCACATGTAAGCAAAAACATTGTCTTTCTAGGTCTGGGTTACCCCAGGATGATTTTTTCTAGTTCTATCCATTTACGTATGAATTTTATGATTTCAATTTTTTTTTTGATTTTTCGAGACAGGGTTTCTCTGTGTAACTTTGCGCCTTTCCTGGAGCTCACTTGGTAGCCCAGGCTGGCCTTGAACTCACAGAGATCCACCTGGCTCTGCCTCCCGAGTGCGCCACCAATGCCCGGCCATGATTTCAATTTTTTAATGGCTGAGTAATAATTCTATTGTGTAAATGTACCACATTTTCTTTATCTATTCATCACAGATGTTGAGGGACATATAGGTCATTTCCAATTTCTGTCTATTATGAATAGAGCATCGTGAACATGATTGAGCAAGTATCTGTGTGGTAGCATCTCTTCTAGTCATCTCAGCTGAAAGTATCTCTCCACAACCCTTACAGATTATATATACTTATGGAGGAAGGAGCCCAGTGAATCTAGTGAGTTTCAGGACTTCCTGGTGTTATGTATTGTTTACTTTCTTAACTTAATGAGCTTCCCTTCAGGATGGAATATCACCCCCCCCCCGGAACACCTGTTGTTTCATATCCCCTTAAAACATCTTGATCTGGAGGTGGTGGGAATGGGGGGGTGGGCTGGGGGGAAGGGGAGGGGGCAGGAAGGGGGAGAACAAGGGAATCTGTGGCTGTTATGTAGAACTAAATAGTATTGTAAAATAAAATAAAATAAAATAAAATAAAATAAAATAAAATAAAATAAAATAAAATAAAAACATCCTGTGTCTTAAGGAGTTCCCTCCAAGATGGGCAGTTTTCTCTTGGAGGAAGTTACTATACAACACTTACTTGTCTTACTACCTTGTGATTCCTCAATGACAGATATTTGTCACTTTTATCTTTAAATATATTCCAGATCAGACTCTACAGTTCTTATGTTATTTGTTTGGATGGATCTAGTAGCTTTTCAATCGGTCTCTCTGTTTATATTTTTAGTACCAGCTATATATTTTTCTCATATTAGTAGCACAATTGCTTCATTTCTTCTTCATTTTATCTATTTCAAAGTTTTTCCTCTATATTTCAGTTTTTTCTAGGATGGTGTTTTTCTCCAAGTGTTCACTTTGTTGATTCTTTCTTTCCTCCAGGGCTGGGAATGGAACCCAAGTCTTTGAGCGTGTTAGAAAGAAGGTCCAAATCAGGTTCATGACCAACCTATTTGTTTTCTTTTTTGAGATAGATACTCTTGAAATTGCCCAGAACAATCTTGAACTTGCAATCTTCTTGTGTGGCTTAAATTTAGTTCCCCCCACGTGTCAGGGTTTATTATTTTTTTTTTGTCTTTTAAAAAAGTAATTTTATTGAGAATTTCATATGTCCATACAGTGTGTTTTGATTATATCTACCTTCAATTCTCTCCTCTCCTATTCTTCCATTGTCTCACCACGACTTTTCCTTGCTCACTTCATATGCTCCCGTTGTTGTGTTTTTGTTTTTTAAATCCATGGAGTCATTTTGCTTCTGCCTGTATGTGCTTGAGTATGGGCCATCTACTGGAGCATAGGTAGCCCTTGGGGGCTCATTCCTGAAGATCAGGACTCTTCCTCCCCATAGAAGCCATCATTTGCCAACAGCTTCTGAGCTAGAGGTGGACGTCATGATGGCCCCCTCTCTCCATGCTGGGATTTTGACTGGCTCTTCATCCTTTTCGGTGTTGTGTTGTTTTATCTGTTACAGACCTTTTAGCTTTGACACTTCTACATCACTGTAATTTGTCTTAGCTACCTCTCTGGTTACGTATCTAGCTACCTCCAAAGAGAGCAAGCAGAGTACTGAGATAAACTCATGTTGTTCATTCAGGTCATTTGTCAGGTCCTTGTTGTAGACTTTGTCCCACATAACAGAACAAACCTCTTTTCTCTCTCCTTTTTCCTTCTGGGTTTCTTCTTTGCTTTTATCTCTGGTTGTATATATGTATCTGTTACTCTTTTTGTGTGAAGGAATGGGAATTTCTAGCACTTAACCTAAAACCTGATGATCAGCTGTGGAAATAATGAATAATGGTGTTAATATAGGCATACTCCATTTAGGCATAATTGTTTCTTTACAATTGAAATTAATTTTCTGTATTTAAAATACATATAAATTTTAAAAATAGTTTCAAAATGAAAGATTTAGAGAATTATTAGAAAGAAAAAGTGAGTTTTGGGGAATAGTAGTTGAAAGTTTTAATATCATCAAGAGAGCAGAGCATAATCTCAGTCTTAAATATTTTGTTTTCTTGAGTGCTAGCTAATTTATTTTTTTACATTTAAAACAGGGACCAAATAAAGAGATAACTATCATTTATACTTTTTTGTTTGTTTGTTTGTTTTCGAGACAGGGTTTCTCTGTATAGTTTTGCGCCTCATTTATTTTTAATATTTAAATAATTCAGCTGTTTTTTAATTTAATAAGTAATTTAATTGCGTGATTTATTTTAACTTTAATAATAAACTTTGTGTAGTTTTTACAGTTTGTTTTAGTTTGATTTTTATATCATGATATATAAGTTCCTGAAAAAATTCTATAAATAATATAAGTTACTGCTTTTTGTGAACTTTTTTGACCTAAAATTCTTCAAAATTGGCCTTTCCCTTGATCTACTAAATATTTTGAAACTATTTTAAAAGTTGATATTTAAATATGTTAAATTTGATTATTATGAAAAGCCTAAATATAGTTTTGGTAAGAACATTACTAGCTTTTCCCCTACATCTTATAGAGCAGCTATAATATACTTCTGTTTAAGCATCATGTTTATTATATTGTAATACAAGTACTCTAATTTTAGGCCTGTGAAGACAATTTAATTGAAGCACAGAAAGAAATTGAGTTATCACAGAGCAAATATAATGCTCTGTCACTACAGTTGAGTAACAAACAGACTGAACTTCTCCAAAAAGATACGGATATTACACTCGTCAGGTAAGTATAGTTTTGTTTTAAATTTCATCAGATTATCACTAGTCATTCAGTATGTCAACATTTATGTTTATTGTTAATACCTTGGAATGATAACAGTATGTCTTCCATAGGAACATATGTTTGTGCAATGAAAATCTGGAGTTCTGTACACTAAACTGGCACTAGTTACCTAGGGGAGCTAAGAGCTCCACTTGACTAATAGATCATGACTTGGTTTTTAAAAACAACAATGCATTCACTCATCATTTCCTAGACTTTTCCTCTGAATATACACAGTGAATTTTTCTTAATTTTAAGTACTTGGAATTATTTATTTTTATTTGTCAAAACACCTGACAGAAACAACTTAGAGGATGGAAGATTTCTTTTCATATCCAGTTTTGCAGAGGGGAAAGCATTGTGGCATTCATGATGGTGTTTAAAAATGAGAAGTTCTTGTCCTTGGTGGCTGCAGTATGAGGTAGCTTGCTCACATCTCTATTCCTGACTAGGAAGCAGAGAAGACCAGATTGGATCTGGTGCTGGGGAATAACCCACAAGCCACCTAGCTCCATGGCTCCATGTCTTCTAGCTAGGCCCCATGTCTAGAAGGTTCTATAACCTCACAAACTAGTATCACCATCTAGAAACAAGTGCACAAGTGCATGAATTTGTGAGGGACATTTCACCTTCAGTGTACAATACAAACTCACCTATTTTAAATAAGTCCTGTTATTTTCCTTTCATGGTTTTCATATCAAGATAGGTCAAGACAAATTCCTTCCTTCCTAGTGGCCCATAGGTATTTTTCTTTATTCTTTAATTTTTCATTTAGTCAGAGAGAGAGAGAGAGAGAGAGAGAGAGAGAGAGAGAGAGAGAGA